TTCTCGGTCTTCTTGTTGTTGGGATGTAGAAATGTCTTTTACGCATTGGTTTTGTATCCCAAGATTTTACCAAGTTTTTTTGTATCAGTGTGAGGAGGTTTCTGATGGACTCTGTAGGGTTTTCTAGGTTCAGAACCATATCATCTGCAAAGAAGGATAATTTAACTTCCTCTTTTCCTGTTTGAATACCCTTGATTTTCTCCTCCGGCCTGATTGCTCTGGCTAGGACTTCCAGTACTATTTTATTTTATTATTTTATTTATTTATTTATTTTTTTGAGTTGGAGTCTCACTCCATTACCCAGGCTGTAGTGCAGTGGCACACTCACAACCACTCCAGTGTTGACCTGCTGGGCTGTGGCGATCCTTCTGCCTCAGCCTCCCAAGTAGCCAGGACTGCAGGTCCACACTACCATGCCGTCTAATTTTTGATTTATTGTAAAGACGAGTTCTCACCAAGTTGCCCGGGCTGGTCTCAAACCCTCGGGCTCAAGCAATCCACTCGCCTCGGCCTCCCAAAGTGCTGGGATGACAGGTTGAGCCACCGAGCTCGGCCCAAGTACTACTTTAAATAGAAAGGTGGGGGGAGTGGGCATTCTTGTCTTGTTCCAGTTCTTAGGGGGAATGCTTCCTGCTTCTGGCCATTAGGTATGATGTTGGCTACAGGTTTGTCATAGGTGACTCTTGTTTTGAGGAACATTCCTTCAGTGTCTAGGTTTTTGAGGGTTTTACTCAGGAAGAAATGTTGGATTTTATCAAATGCTTTTTCTGCATCTAAGGAGATAATTATGTGGTTCTTGGTTTTACACCTGTTTATGTGATGGATTAATCTTAAGTTCATAGACTTATGTGTGTTGAACCAGCCCTGCATTCCAGGAATGAAGCTCACCTGGTCATGATGGACAGTCCTCGAAATGTGCTGTTGGACACAATTTGCTAGAATCTTGTTGAGAATGTTTACATTATGTTCATCAGGGAAATAAGCCTGTCGTGCTCTTTCCTTGTTGAGTCTTTGCCATTTGGGGGGTGTCAGAGCAATAGTGGCTTCGTAGAAGGAACTAGGGAGAATTCCTTCCTTCTCAATTGCCTGGAATACTTTCACGTATGTCTCTCTCATGTATGTCTTGTAGAATTCAGCTGAGAAACCATCTGGCTCAGGGCTTCTGGGGGGGGCAGGGAGGTTTCTTATAACGGAGTCACTTTCTCGGGTGGCTACTGGTCTCTTTAGAGTTTCGATTTCTTCCTGTTTCAACCTCGGAAGTTGTGTGATGTCAGGGATTCCTCCATTTCCTCTAGATTTTCTAGTTTATTTGCCTACAGCTGTCGGTAGTAATCTTTGATGATCTTTTGAATTTCTTCCGGGTCAGTTGTGACATTGTTTTTTTCATTTCTAATTGTGATTAGACAGATCTTTCTTTCTTTCTTTCTTTTTTTGAGTTGGAATCTCACTCTGTCGCCCAGACTGGAGTGCAGTGGAACGCTCCCAGCCACCGCAGCCTCGACCTGCTGGGCTCCGGCGATCCTTCCGCCTCTGCCTTCCGAGTCGCTGGAACTACAGGTGCGTGCTACCACGCCCGGCTAATTTTTTTTTTTTTTTTTTACTTATTGTAGAGACGAGGTCTCACCAAGTTGCCTGGGCTGGCCTCGAACCCGCAGGCTCTGGCAATCCACTCGCCTCGGCCTTCCAAAGTGCTGGGATGACAGGCTGAGCCACTGAGCCCGGCCCAGATCTTTCTTAAAAATCCATACTGTTCATCCTCCGTAGGAATAGCCAGTCCAATGCAAGCTGCATATTTACAGACCTCAGAGGCCACACGATGCTCTCTGACCACCGTGGCTGGAGGTGCAGCTCCAGGAGGCCTGTGCATTTGTGATTCGAGTGTCTCCTTGCCTCTCTCCCTTGGTCCCCGTTGCCAAGCTCCAGCTCCAGGGAAGAGGCGTTGTCAGGAAGCGTGCTGCTGCCCGTGGTGATCCGAGGGGCGTGTAGGCATGTCCAGACCCCTCGTATGCTGCTTCTCCTCCCCATTCGGCCTAGTGACTGGGACTCTGCTGCTGGACCCGTGGGAGGTGTCTCTCTGCAGATGCTCTAGCAGCCCTGGGGCATTGGATGGAACTCTGGGACCTGCGGGTGCTCGTGGGGTTTGGCTGGGGCGGAGCCAGCTCCAATCCCGACATGAGAGGCGGGGCTCTGGAGAAGGGCCCGCCCACCTTCCTCCACCGCACCTGGCTCAGACGAGCTCAGAGCAGAGCGTTTCTCTGACCAGCTCTGCAGAGTACCCTGGCCTGCACTTGCAGACGGGCATGTTCAGGGGCCGCTCGGCTGGTGCTGGCTGGAGTTCAGCCTGTGGGGGAATGTCCAGTGGTCTGGGTAGAGGCACGGCTGGCCAAGGGTGGATGCAGAAAAGGGTGCTGACGGGCGGTGCCACACACGTCGCGGGGGGCCGTCGTCACACACCCAGCCCAGCCAGGGCCGCGGAGGCGTTCCCCCAGTCTGTGTGCTCACGTGCTGCGTGCATTGTTCCTCTCTAGACCACAGGCCCCGGGCGTCTTTGTGTCCCTGGCCCCAGCCCTGTCGCCTGCCCTGGGCTGCAAGCCCCGGCAGGAAGGGACAAGGAGAGACAAAAGCGACAAACATCCACAGACACAGCTCCCGGCTGTTCTTGTGCCGTTCTCGTGCTCTGACAGCTTGCGCTAAGCTCCCCTGAGCCCCTGACCCAACAGAGAGCTCCGCTTCTGTTCAGCGGCCTGTGTGCTTTCAAAGAATGCGTCGGGGCTCGCTGGTGCCGTGCCCCTCGCCCGTTTTCTCGTCTGCCTGGCGGTGTGACGGCTGCTTCCCAGCACACACAAGCGTGAAGTCTGAGGCCCACCCTGCCCCACTGGAGGCCTCCAAAGGGACCTCAGGAAGGTCTCAGGGCCGACGCATTCTGTTGTTGGATGCACATGTGTGGCCTTCAGACAGGCCCCCCCCAGCTGGGAACACACCCCCTCCACCCACGTTTCCCTAAGAGGATGCTGGTTCTGAGACCAGGCAGGAGGCTAAATTTGGAGAGCAAAATAAGTTTGGGGCCTGGAGGAGAAAAAGCTTCCGTTTATAGTCTGGAAACAGGACACGTGGCTTGTGCCTCAGTGGGTTGGTGACGATTCTGTGAGCCAGAGACCCTTCCGTTTCCGCCCTCCCCGGTGGTGGGCCGGCCTGCAAGCCACCCTGCACCTCCCGGAGCGGAGAGTCACACGGCGCCCTGCCCCAGGCTGCCCTGACCCGCCCAGGGCCCCTTCCTGCTCGTTTTACAAGGTGGGAGGCTGGAGCAGTGGTTGGCCTGCTCTCCGGGCCCCTTCCACGCAGGGGACACAGTAGGGACAGCCCCACTGGGCTTTCTGCAGGCGACTCCAGAGACACTGTGAGCACAGGCTCCTCCGGAGAATCTGCTGCTAAGGAAGGCCCAGCTGGGGAGGCCTCCTTCTCCCGGAGCCTGGGCCTGCGGCTGGTCAGGCAGGGTATTGGCCACGCCTATCTGCGGGCAGCTGGGGAGGACCCAGGTACGCAGGTTCCGGAGAGGCCGGTGTGCACATCCTGGGCTCACAGGCTGCTTTTCTGGGGTGCAAACCCACGTCACAAATTCCTCCAGAGCTGGTGCAGACAGAAGCAAGAGAAGAGGAGACAGCCGAAATAAGATCCTTTTAATTCATTGCAAAACTCAAGTCTGGCCTAGAAGAAGGCTGACCATCAGAACACTGTCTTTCCTGGGGCGGCACCTGTTGTTCATTTGTTTTCGCCAAACGTGGCTCCTCCGTGATGGGTAGCAAAAGCGGTTTCCGTCTAACGCCTGCTACATGAAGGAGCTTCACAAAGCAAAGTTTCAAGGGAGGGCAAAGCACATCCCAGTCTTGAACAGCACGGGCACATCTCAGGAAAGTCCCAGAGGGTACCCGCCAGGAGTGGACGCCGCCAGCGAGGCCACGGGCCGGTCTTCTCCTCTTTCCCTGTGTTCTTATTTTTTGCAGATTTTTAACAGTGACTATATCACTTCTGGGACTCGAAGCAGGATTGAGACCACACAGGCAACTGAAGGACTCAGCCAGGGCTTATACTGCCCCGATAATGCTTTCATATAGTGCGTGCCATTTTCCTCGTTTTTATGGACGGCACAGACGTCATCTCCGTCCACAGGCAGGCTGGGTTGGTGAGGCTTCTGAGTCTCCCCAGTTGCTGTTCGATTTTAGCAGAGCTATCACATCTTTTTATTTCGAGAATAAGATCCACGAGAAGTCAGAGGACTCCTTAGGGATCATTAAACACTCCAAGTAGCCGGGCTTGGTGGCTCAGCTTGTAATCCCTTGCCTTTGGGAGGCTGAGGTGAGTGGATTGCCTGAGCCTGCAGGTTCGAGACCCACCTGGGCAGC